TTTGCAAAGGGATCCTTGGGAGAGGAGGTGGAAACAAGGGGCAAGAACAGTGAAGCTGGATTTGGGGAATGAGGTGCTGGTGGTGCAGAGAGGGGAGGCCAGTCGACCGGACTCAGTGTGCCAGTGTCATCTGCGTCCCCGCAATGCATTTTGCAGTTATCATTCATGACAGTTTGATATATTGCCCAAAAACTGTACATGCCCTTGAAAGTAGCCCAAAATAGCCCAAAAAAACACAACCTGCAAAAGCCAAAAATTTCCCACAACTGATCTCCAGAACTCAAGTTTGGCCCAGAATTGAGTATTTGTGCAGCAAAAAACAAGCACGGGTTTCACATTAAGGAGGTAAGTATTTTGGTTTAAGAATAGTCAATCCATATATACCCGCCTACACATGAAACAAATATAATTTTGTAACTTCTGGCCTATATTTGAGCCTGAATGTGCATGGGTTCCCTGAAAAATATTTCAAGGGTTCCTCCAGGGTCAAAAGATTGAGAAAGGCTAGTCTATTGCATGCAAAACTGTTGCATCAAAGTCCAAGAAATGGAGGTTTCACTGTTCATAGAAAAACAGATCCAGCTGAAGAAAAATCAGCGTAGATTGTCCTCATACCAATTCTGACTCACCAATCCACAGCTCTGGATTGAGTTTTTTGAGAGTGTCAACCAGTACATAGATGGAGGTGAACATGGCAACATTTTATTGTTGGATTCTTCTAAAATCCTTTAATAAAATTCTTCATCAAAGGCTCTTGAGTAAACCTAGTGGCCAAGGATTAAGGCAGTGTTATCAATCAAGGAAAGGTGAAAATGAAGTCCCTCAAGGATCTGAGTTGGGGCAAGTGTTGTTTAATTTGCTCATAAATTATCTTTAGTGATAAGCAGTGAGCTGGCCAAGTTTGCAGCTACTCATAGTAGTAGAAACTGGAAATGATGGTGAAACATTCCAAAAGGATCTCTTTAAACTGGGTGAATGGCGTAGGAGAATTTTCCTACACATCTGAGACCTTCCAAAGCATTGTGAGAAGGCCGCGGCTGCCATTATCCATAGTTTTCCTTCCTTTCTCTTTTTTCATCCAAATACTAGGATTGGGGGCATTCAATTAAGCTAACTGGAAAATTTAGAACAGAACAGAACTGATCCATGGAATAACCACAAGTTATGGTGATAGCCGCTACCTCAGATGGCCATAAAGAGAATGAGATAAAATTTATGGACCAGTGGTTGATCAGTGTTTACTGGTCTTGAAGACTCAATATTATCTCCGAACACTGCTTGCATGGGGACAAGAGAAAGATTTGTCTTTGTCTCCCATCTGCAAGCCCTGGGAGGCAGCATGGCTGTTGTTTCTTAAGCCAGGAAGCTTTTCTGGAATTTCAAACAGCTGAATTGACACTGTTTTATGAGACGTCCACAGAGGGTCATCCAGGACTTTTCTTCCTGTAATTTTTATACTGGGCTACACAGTCCGAGGAGACTATTTTACAGTACAGCATTTCCATACCACCTTTTTAGGCAGTTTCGGAAAACAAGATAAAGCACAAACATATTTTAAACATGATTCCTTGAATTGCATACATTTCAAAGCCGTGGAAAAAAATATTTTTGCAAGGAAAATGTAATAATACAAATTGGAAAATCTGCATTAATAATTTTATTAGAGCAATCAAGTTTATTCTTATGCCTCCAACACACACGCCACACAACATCCTCGTAACTGCACGGAAAACCACGCCTTCAGTTTCCTATAATTCCATAGAATCCACAATGTTCGTTTACTTTCAAACCAATTATATGGAGTCCAGTATTATTCCGCGTTGTTTTGTTTTGAATGTAGAGTACAGCGACGGATGACGCAGTCATGTGTCCTCCCCGCCGCAGGCGGCGCTCCGACAGATCTGCCCCTTCTTCCTTCCCCACCCACTTTCCAAAGCCCAAAACAGCTCTGCTCAAACATTCGGTTTTCGACTCTCGATCCTAGACTAAGAAGAGGTCGTGATTAGCTGACAGTCTTACTTCCGCACTCCAGAGGAAGAGGAAAAAGGAAAGCAAAGCGAACGACTTCCAAAGAATACGCTTCGGGAAAAAGAGGGAGTGACTGAACCCCCAAGTGCGCATGCCCAATCAGTCTTCGGGCTAACTGCGCACGCGCTGGCGGTTATAACCATCAGGACAAGGGAAGAATCCCGAGAGTTCAAAGCTGCGGTCGAGACCCTGCCCCTCCTTCCCCTGAGTAACCGTCATTTTCCTTTCGTTGTCGGTTTTCCCTTGGACCTTTTCAGTCACAGTACTGTCAGGGCGAGAGAAAGGATGTCCAGTGGAGTCTTGTCCCAGGCCGGCCCCGGCGCTGAGTGAGGCAAGGCCAGGCCGGGCGGCGGGTGACCGGGAAAGGGATGTCGCCTCCGTCCCCCGACGCTGGGTCTTGCCGCTGCCGCCTTCGGCGGCTCCCGCTGCCTCTGTCCTCCTCCGGTTCTGGTTGCCGCCTGCGACCGCCACTCCAAGCCCGGGAGCAACGTCGGGCTCGGCCCCAGCAGTGATTCCCGTCGCTTCCCCCCCCAGGGGGCGGGACGGGGTAGGCAAGATGCAGGCGGCGCCGCTGCAGTACGAGTTCTTCAGCGAAGAGAATGCACCCAAGTGGCGGGGTCTGCTTGTGCCCGCCCTGAAAAAGGTGAGAAGGGGTTAGCAGCCTCCTTCCAGAGCATGTTGGACTTACTATGCCTCTACAACCAGAGGCTGTAGATGAGGCCATGCAAGTTAGACAACGCGTGCGGGTATATGCTGTTATAGTGAGCGCCTGGGGTTTGATGGCTGTTGGCATTTAGTTGAGGTATCTGGTAATCTTCCATGGGAGAAGTTACCTATTCCCTATTTCTTGGATATACACCAGAGAATTGTGATAATCAGATGTCAGTGATTTCGGTACCTGCACCATCATCTTTTGGAAAGATCAGCTTGCACATTCTGCAAAATGTATGCTAGGCTGCAGTAGAAATCCATGCACTGATATGTGTTGAAAATAGCTTCCAGCAGTTTCTGGCCACAAAATAAATTAGTCTCTTGTATCTGCTTAGAGACGGGGAGGTGGGGGGAGAGAAAGAAAGAAAAAGAAATGAAGGAACTAAAAGAAAGTATGGAGAAACATAGCAAGAAGACTTTAAGACAAAGCAAGTAAGAGTATTTTCCAAACATTTAATTTCAGACTGATAGTAAATACATGTGTAAATAAACCACTATGTTAGAGATTATTAGGAAAGTTAAATAGCTTTGAGACATTGTCAAAAGAAAGATTATTTCAACTGTTTCTCAAAGTGGTGTTCCGCTTTGCTTTTATTAGGTCCATTCCTATATATTCTCTTATTTTAATATGAGAGCACATGAAACGGGTTTTGCTGAAACTAAATGGGTTTAGGATTAGTGGATGGGAGACCACTTGGAAATCTTACGTTTGGTACTTTGAATGCTATAATAAAAGGCATTACATAAATATATCGAATAATACATACTGTTCAAAAAATATGAGTATGTTCTCTTAGCCTAGCCACATATTTTACTCCCCTCTGTGTGTTTTTTTTTCAGACATGAATCATGTTTCATTCTAATTCTTTTTTAACTAGCACTTGCTAGCCTGATTTTACTCTCAGGTTATTCTGAATTAATCAGGTTAGTCTGAATTAAAGTTAGCAGTAATCATAGGTTTGTTACATCTAACTTTATCTTAACTGACATGTGAGGATGAAAAAGTTATAGGTTTTTGCTGTTACTTTGTTTATGTAAAGGACTGATTGTTTTCTATATATTACATATATATATATATATTACCACATGCATTGCATTTTCTTGATTGGAGCAATGATCTAAGATTAAGCATTTCAGAGCAATTGAGATTTAAATATGTCTGTTACATCAATGATTGTGCTTAAACCTTTATGCTCCAGTTGAAAAATGTAAGATAAATGTTTCAGCTTCTCCAGTTCATTTGTTTATTGAACATGCGTGAGTTGAATATTAGTGCAAGCTACATTTTACTTGGAGGAAGTGTTAATATTCCATAGAACATATCCAAATTACGTTTGCAGTGGAAATTAGGCTTTATTAAACTATGGTATTTCTTACTTAACTAGTATTGGGGGAGTATTTTTAATATTTTATTAATAGCATACAATTAGAAATGTAGCTCTCATGTAGGATAAGCATAGTGTTCTAAAACTATACATGTTTTAAATATTAATTTTTAGCTTCTAAATATATGAAGTATTATTCTTGAAGTTAACATTTAGTTTATTATTTTAAAAATTGAAAACCTTTTCAACTGTTAAACTTGTGCACCTAAAATTATTGGATAAAAGTGTAATAGGCAGTAGGAATAATAAGTTTCTCTTGAAATGAACTACAGGACACCAAGTGTACTATCTTGAAAATATTAACATAGGAAGCACTGCAGTGTCTATACAGAATCTGTCAAGGTTTTAGCAAATCTTGCCTTAATTGCAAATGAGTTTGAATGCTGTTTTATGCAGTCCACACAAGCTGCTGAGCTATCCAGAAATTGAAACTTTTCTGTGCCATCCAAATGGGAGATTGTTATTTATGTCTCCCTTTACAAACCAACTGTCATAAACTAGAAAGAAAGAAATCCCACTTTGTAAACCTGGCTTATAAATGAAGTCAAAAACTAAGCACAATAGTTCAGACAGCACTGGAAGTTTTGAGTTCCTGACACTTGATTTAGCATTTTTTCAGAAAGCACCATTTTTTGGATATGCATACTTTGAATAATAATAATTGATTAAATGTACAGTCAGGTCCAGAAA